TGCCCTCTCGTCTTCCACCAACACATCATGTATTGATCCAGTTCCACAATTATTTCATCAACATTTGTTCTCTAAAGCCAATGTGGGTTACTCTTACGAAATATTTGGATGGATATCTCCTTAAGCATATGTTTTAAGTACACTCAGGAGGTGAAAGGAAGGAGTGGGGGGGGAGGGAGGGGTGGGAGAGATGGAGGGGGTGGGAGGGGATGGAGAAAGTGGGAGGGGGTGGGAGGGGGTGGGAGGGGAAGGAGGGAGTGGAAGGGGAAGGAGGGAGTGTGAAGGGGAGGGAGTGGGAAGTTTGGTGCTGCTCCTAGTGAGGCCTCATTCTCAAGACATCTGAGAAGCAGAAAACACCCTCAGATCTGTCAGTCGGAAAGAGAAGAGGCTGGATCCAGTCATGGGATGGTTCCCATAACCTCCTGGCTTTTGGCTCCCACTTCTATAACATTTCTTAGTATTCTCTAAGCAACCGGAACAGCAAACAAATTTACAAGGTATCTGAGCCGAGTGAAGGATGCTTCTCTCATGTCAAAGGAAAAGCTGAATGGCAGTGTCTTTGAAATCAACAGGGGTCAAAACTTTAGGCTGAGCAGAACAAGATGTAAGAGACTCCTGCAGACAAGTTCATACTAATAAATAATTCACGGGCAGTGATCACAAACCTGTATTTAGTTTATCAAGACTGGCATAAAATTATAAAATAAAACAGGTAAATACAGTAATAAAGGTAGACTTCGATCACAGAGGAGAAAGCAAGTGTGACATGGGATGATGGGACCCTGAGACAGACATCCCCTATGGCCATTGAGATATATATTTTGGTCTGGAGTTGTCAATCGTAGCTGATATTCAACCATTAATGTAATTCTTCTTAACCTTCTTTTGTTAAATGTGCCAAAGTCATCTTAAAGTATGAATGTGAAGTGTAAAAATCAAGCCTCTTACATTGCTTGTGGGTTCATTATGCAGATGGCTCCCGAGCACTGGCACTTGCTAGTGTCATCGTAAGGGATCCCCATGCTGAGGGCCAGTAATTGAGTTAAAATAACGGCAAGTGATTCCACGCTTATGGTTTTGGGGTGCTGAAAAAAGAGGTAAGACATAAATGCACGCACACTTCTTTGCGAATTATTTACTGGGAGAATAATGTAATTCTTAGAAACAGTCACATGATAAAATGTGACAGAGGCATCTAATAGGTTATACAACAAAATGCCATCCACGTCGGCCTAACTCACGTGTTATAGGTATCATTATAAATACGAGAAATACAAGAAAGCCTTGACTCTAAGGTTCAGTATGGAGTAATTCTGAAGCATTCTATAACAGACATACTCTTATTTGACAATGTGAATGTTAACTTTCTTTGCATTGTTATTATTGCTTAATATTTTGATACAGAAATTGTCTGATTTCTTTTCTGAATGTATTTATCTTCGTTCATTCTTTACGAGGTTTTTGTTTCTGGCCCTTATCTTAAACTTTGTTATTGCTATTAAATTTTAAGCCTTTTTAATTTTGTGAAGGCAAAAAGTGGAAACCTAATAAACACACGTATATGTGAAAAAAAAAGAAAAGAAATATAAGAAAGACGAAATCTTAAGTGTCACCAAAATGTAAATGGGTGACACACTGGGTGGCGTCAGACCAGTACGTTGCCCCCTGAACTTGTTAATTGTGCACAGTGACAGTCAGAGTCATAGCTGCGCTCTCAGAAAACCATCTTTAAAGACAGAGAGACATGTAGAGTATCAAATTATGAAAAAAATTTAATTTATAATTTGATTTATAATTTGTTAGTAGAAGAACAGACAAATAGACTGATGGTCAAAAAAGATTCCAGAAAAAGGCCAGAAATAGGATGCCCTGATTTATAAAACAAAGGCATCACGGTATTTCTGTGGAGGAAAAAAATCACCTTTGGGATAAGTAGGAACAATGGCCCAAATCATTTTAAATATTACTGGTCTCTCAGGTTAATTATATGTTCCCCCCGTTCATTCACCAGAATTACCTGTATCTCTCCTTGCTCTCTAAAAGGTGGGCATATAAATTTCTGGATCCCCTTGAGATACCAGGTAATCATTCTGTGATTCTCCCCTGGCTTAAGGTAAATCAACCTCTTTCTCTTATTTATCTATCTTCATTGTGAGTTTATCTTTCAGTGAAATTTTGGGGACAGGGGAAGTTTTTCCTCACCCCCACAATAGTTTCAAATGCTTTCTTTTAATCTGGTTTAAAATTATGTTACCTACCTAATTAAGAAATTGTACAAAACTTAAACCTTAAAATCAATAAGTAAATGATTAAATATTAAGATTATGAAAAACTGATGAGCATTTTATCATAAAACTAAAATGGATCATTGCATTAGCTTCCTAGAAAAGATTTTTTTAAACTTATTGTAAGAAAACTGTGAAATTTTATAAGTAGTGAGTTCAATGAGAACTCTTAGTTTAAACATTTCTATCAGCTGCAAAGGTTTGCAAAGGTACCTAGAATAATGAAAACTATAATATATTTAGAAATAATAAAATAAAGAAATATTTAACATCATCTTAATGTGTATAGCATTCCATCTTAACATTTCAAATTAAACCGTACGATACCATCACAACTCCTCCTCCGTAGAGGGCATCACACATCTTGCCTTGAAAGGTTGCACCAACATAATTTGATTTTTCTCTGTAACTTAAATTTTAAAAAGGATCAGAATCATATAATAATATAAAAGCACAATTAGTACTGAATTTTTAACCAAAATTTTGTTTTGTACATTTATATCAAACTCATCAATATTTCCACCTAACATCCGTGTAACGTAGCTTCTTTTGAGAATGGATCGGAAAAAACAAATAATAGGCATGTGGAGTTCTGTAACATAATATTCATTTTATGTAGTTTCCCCCTTAAAACCAAAATAAATAAATCCCCTGAAATAAAAATTACAGAAATAAATTAAATCCCTTAAAATTACAAATCAATGGCCAGAGACACCATATGGATTAAAGTCTCCACTTAATCAGAAAAAAATTAGTATGCCAGAGCTATGCAAAGATAAGGCATATTTATGGAACAGAGAATAAAAAAGATTAAAATGTTATATATATATGCACATATATATATACATGCACTTAATATTGATAAGAGAAAAACTGAATCTATTAAACAGAATAGGAGGCTTATATACCAAAATCTTAAGCACAATATGACTATATTATAAGTATTAAAATATACAAAAGTGTTTCCATTTATTTATTTGCTTTGTGTTTTACTATATAACAACAAAGTATAGGAAGAAGGTTAGATTATATGGTTATAGAATTCAGATCTATTTCTTCAAAAGGATACCATTCATATTTTACTCATAGTTAGAGACATTTAATGGTGTGATGTACACTCCACGGCACAAAGGAATATTGCACAAGATTGAAGGAGTGAGTTTTAACTACAAAGCGATAAATAGATATCAATAATTCTAATAGCTAAACCATTTTATAAAAAATAATATTCATAGGGTATATGCCAGAATAAAATTATAGAAGATTATTTCTTCCCCAATGGCTTTTCAGCTGTTAAACATTGTGTCAGATTGGAGATGTTTCTTTTCTAGGATTCAATAACGCCAGGATATGCTTACATAAGTAAAAACGCCACATCATGAGGACGCAAAACCAGGAAAGATCTTTTCCAGTCTAAAAATCTGTGGAGTAACTCGTTAGCATCTCCAGTGATTGGAATTTTATTCTTATCTACCCAAAGCTCCAATGAAGATAGAATAACTGTCACATTAAATGAAGTAAAAATCTAAACAGAAAACAAACAGAAAACAGGTTCCAAAATCATACTTCCAACAGATTTCATAATTATGTATGAAAACAAACTTATGAAAAATACTAAACAACTGAAGTCTAGATTTCTTTAAAAGTATATTAACAATTAATAAATGCTATTAATAATATAAGTAATACTTGGCATTTTATTTATTTTTTAGAGACAGAGCCTCAAGCCGTTGCCCTGGGTAGAGTGCTGTGGCATCACAGTTCACAGCAACCTCCAACTCCTGGGCTCAAGCGATTCTCCTCCCTGTTTCCCAAGTAGCTGGGACCACAGGTACCTGCTATGACACCCAGCTAAGTTTTGGTTGCAACTGTCATTGTTGTTTGGCAGGCTGGCGCTGGATTCGAACCCGCCAGCTCAGGTCTATGTGGCTGGCACCTTAGCTGTTTGAGCCACAGGCACCAAGCCATAATTGGCATTTAAAAATGCTTGCACCTATGTGAGCCCTGTGCCAAGTGTTTTAATCCCTACAGTAGGCTCGGTGCCCATAGTACAGTGGTTATGGTGCCAGCCACAAACACCAAGGGTGGTGGATTAGAACTTGGCCAGGGCCAGTTAAACAACTGCAACAACAAAAAAATAGCTGGGCATTGTGGTGGGCACCTGTTGTCTCAGCTACCTGGGAGGCTGAGGCAAGAGAACTGCTTAAGCCCAAGAGTTGGAGGTTGCTGTGAGCTGTGACACCATTGCCCTCTACCAAGGGCAACATAGTGAGACCCAGCTACTCAGGAGGCTGAGGCAAGAGAATGGCTTGCGTCCAAGAGTTTGAGGTTGCTGTGAGCTATGATGCCCCGGCACTCTTCCAAGGGCAACAAAGTACGACTCTGTCTCCAAAAAAAAAAAAAAAATCCCTATAGTAACTTAATTAGATGTATATAATTATTATTATGCCTTCTTCACAGATAAAAATCTAAAACACAAAATTAAACTTAATTTCCCCTATATCATACAACAAGTATATTCAGGCAGTATCATAAGAGAAGGCATAGAAATTGTCCCAGTAACACCGGAAGTCCGAAGTATTAAGAAGCAAATACTTACAGCATTTGTCAATCCAAGCAACTGGAAAATTTTTTGAGTGACAACAGAAATATCAGAACCCATGTGATTGTACTGTAAAATATAATTATATTTTAGATTTAAATATACATTGCTCAGCACTGAATGATCATTATTTTTTTTTTCACTTCAAATTCAAGATGGTGAGATTAGGAATTGTTTAAATTTCCAACACATTATTTTATAAACAACATCATTTTATGATGATACAAGTCATTTGATAGACATTCATTGTGAAAGATGAAAAATACAAAACGTGAAAAAGAGACTGCAAACAAGATATCCACGATCAATAAATGAATCACAATAACTGTTGACTGAAAAATCTCACTTAAAATTATAATATTTAAATGTGTGTGCAGGAGGCACACTATGTTTCCAAAGATACAGATGACTCAAGAGGGAAATAACTGAAAAGACAGACCATGAAAACAGCAATAACAAATGAGCTGGGATGTCTATGGAATAATGTAAGAATTATAAATGCCTATGCACCAAAGAAGAGGCCCAGAAAATTACACAAGTACAATTTGGTAGAATTGAGGGGAGAAACAGAAACTCCAACAATAACAGAGACTTAAATACACACCATTCAATAATATAATAATACCTGAGCAAAAATGGAACACAAGTATTTCAAACTAAAAACTGTTTGCCAATAGGTATTTACAGAACATTGTATTGCAAAATAGCACATACAGATCAATAAGGAAATGGTGAACCTTAACAATACTGGAAGCCAATTGTTCCTAAAAACATGGACAGACCACACCACTCCCCAACAGCAGAACACACATTACTTCAAGTGCTCATGGAGGGCTCTCCAGGATACACCATATCTTAGGTCAAAAAAACCATACTAAGTTTTTAAAAGACTGAAATCACGCAGAGTATCTTTTCCCGTCACGGTGAATTGAAACTAGTAATTTGCAACAGAAGAAAAACTGGAAGATGAAGCTAAATGTGAAGAAGGAAAAGAGAACATCCATGTAATCGAACATTTATAATCGAAAGATAATAAAACTGACAAATCTTTAGCCAGTACGACCTCAAAAAAAAAAAAAGGGCAAAGATAATAACTATCAAAATCAGTAGTGTACAAAGATATTTCACTAGAGATATTACGGACCCCAAAAGGAATGTAAAGGATTTCTATAAATGAACATGAACAGAATACACTGCTTCGATGCAGATGAATCAGACCATCACTTCTGGAAGATGTAAGCTGAAGATACTGGACCAAGTAGAAATACAAATAATTATAATAATATGTAAGATTTATAATATGTAAACAGTTATTTAATTATGTGATTGAAAGTTATTCCTCACACACACACATCTAGCCCAGAAATCTTTATGGAAAAAATGTTAGCAAAAGCTTAGAAAAATAAATAATATCAGTCATTCACAAACCCTCAGCAACTACAGAATGCTATATAATCATAATCCAGATAAATTACCACGCTGATAAAGCTGGGAAAGACATCGCCTCAAAAAGAAACTGCAGGTCAGTATTCATTAAAACTATATGCTACATAATACACTTAACAAGCACACATATATACATGCAGTGATATACACACAACACTATATACAGTAATATATATTTAACACACAGACACGGGTGTCCCAAAAGTTTCCATGGAGAGGGGAGTGTTCGCCATGAGTGGGAGAGACTGTGTATGTGTAGAAAGCAGTAGCCAACACACAGAGAATGTTTTGTAAATAATTTGTAAAATTCTGTAATGAATATTTTGTAAATAAATATATATTTAAAAGATCATAGTATGAAGCTCCTACAATTTCCCGTTTTTCCTATGAATGGTGACATTTGGTATATTACATTTCTATGGACTAGATTCTGTCCCCACAACATTCACGCATTGAAGCCTTAACCTCTCCAGTGACAGTATTTGGAGATGGGGTCTCCAGACCATTAGGATTCGATAGCATCACGAGAGTGGGGCACCTTGATAACTAACAGAGACATTGGAGAGTTCTCTCTCTCTCTCCTTCTCTGCCACATCAGAACCCAGAAAAGGGTGGCTCTCTGCAGGCCAGGAAGAGAGTCCTCACCAGAACCCAGTAATTCTGGCGCCCCATCCACCAGCATTTAGTGTTCAGAAGGGTAAGAATGGTTCTTTACGTCACTCACTCCATGGTATTTGGCATTGCAGCTCAGACTAAGACAGATTTGGGTACCGAGAAGTGAGGTCCTGAACTGAAGAAGACATTGTGAAGCAAAATAGAACCTATGGCGAATGTTTGCAGATTTCTTAGCCTATCCATATTGCAGAAAAAACGAGAACACTTATTCTGCAGAGGACATTGAGGGAATAGCCGAACCACCATTTGGCAAAAAGCTTATGGGATTGTGTGAGTGGAGACACCGCCAATCTGAACTCAGGGGTTATCAAGACGGGCTGACGTCTGCTGGACTTCTTAGATTTGTCAGTAGTTATTTAGCTGCAAATCAGCACTACTCTTCAGGAGGAGGAAAAGAAATTCCGAAGGTCATTCCAGGATTACTAGGGACACGGCCTTGATTTCAACAGTTCGGTGGTTCTCTGCCCAGAGCCCTGGCAGCCAGACCACCCAGTGAGCACAGCCGTGGAAATGGCACTGCCCTCCAGTGGACCCGAAAGGTAGGCCACTGGGCCACAGAGTCAAAGAGGATTATTCTCAAGGTTTAAAATCTAAGCAAATATGCCTTGCTAGAGCCTGGACTTGCTTGGAGGCCACTTCCCCTTCCTTCCCTCTCCTCTTTCCTTCCCTTCCTCCCTCCTCTCCTTCCTTCCTTCCTTCTCTCCCTCCCTCCTTTTCACAGATGGAAATTTTGCCTTCATTTGTCTCATGTCACTGAGACAAATGAAGGCAAAATTTACTGCCTTTATTTCGAGTCTCACCCATGTAAGATTTAGAGGATATTTAGACCAGACTTAGGACATCAGAGTTCTAACATCTGTTGCTCTGGAATGGATGCATTTTATATATGAAAAGGAGCTCAGGGGTGGAGTGTTGCATAGTGAATTATATCCCTACAAAACTTCGTATGTTGAAACCCTGACCCCAAACTTTATGGTATTTACAAACGATATTAGGATTTACAAACTTCATTAGGTTTAGATTTAGTCATGAGGGTGCGCCCCTCAGGATGGGATTAGTGGCTCACAAGAGAAGAAATACCAAAGAGCCCTCTCTCTACAGTGAGCTGCAGGCCAGGAAATGTGTCCCCACCAGAACGTGACTGTGCCAGCCCCCTGATCTCAGACCACCAACATGCAAAGCAAATATATTAAACTACATTTACAAAGGAAACCTAAGAAAAATACTAGCAACCTAAACCTGGAAATAGATGAAAATGATTATGCAACATGATCAAGTGGGAATTATTTCAGGAAGGCAAGGTTGTTTCAATATCTGAAAGTCAATTAATGTAATACACTTAATGAATGGAATGACAAAAATATCCCATGGTCATCTCAACAGGCACTGAAATTAAGAGAAAATATCATATAGAAATTTGATTCTCAATTTAATACTGACAATAATCATTTTAAATGCATTAAGGCAGAGCTAAAGCAAATTTATCATTGTCTTCTGTCAAAAACGTATTCCAAATTATTTTGTATGATCCTTCATAGCTAATATAAAGTAACAAGAGACAAATCAGAATCTACTTACCAATTTTTGCTCAACTACAAGATGCATTTCTATATACTGAGAGGATTGATGTGGCTGAAAACAAATCCACGAGCTTTATGTCAGGATTAAATTACTTGAATATTTTCACTGTATATCGCTACTATTAGTGAACTCAAAATTGAAAAATAAAATTTTACGTTTGGAAATAGAATCAGATAAGAAAAACTAGATATCACAAAATCTTTTCAATGATAGTAGAACCTCCATAGTTGACCATCTCCCTACATTGGGTTGGTCCCTTAAATTGACCTATTTTATAAACCAGGCATGCATCACATGTACAAAACCAGAGGCTATTCTGAAACGTGAATGAAAGGGAGCAGAGTCTGGGTTCCGTATGGGCAGCATGGCCTTTATTCACTTGGGTGCTAGCGGCTAGTTCAAAAAGGAAGTCAGCCCGTGGGTTAAGAAGGGGTGGGAACAAGAGGGTCTGGGGTTGGGGACGGGTGAACCCATTCCTTCTTGGGTGGGACTTGGGTATTCCTTTCTGTGTCCCTGGGCTGGGCCCTGTCACATATCAGTACAATGGACCTACTTTCTTATGTTGACCATTTCCACATGCTCTGAACAGTTTGTAATATCCCCCGGGGTACATCTTACAGAGGTTCTACTGTATGTCTTTTGTCACTTCTCTTTATCTAATTAATCATTTAATTAACTCAGAAATAACTTCTACCTTCCATTCTCTATATTCTCATTGGTGCAAGTACCAGACTATTCATACTGCTCTCTTTTATGAGTAAATCCATCAACTCCCGGTTACAAAATGCATGTAGATCTGTTAGCTTAATGATGCTATTATTACATTACTATGCAGTATGTGTTTGTGTATAAACACATCCATCCCTGTGTGTAAGAGATGAAATTTCATCTAAAGGATAAAGTTAATCCTTGTATAAGTTATCTCAGGGAAATGTATGCAACAGAGTGTCACAATAATGTACTTTTTTTTTTAGAGACAGAGTCTCACTTTGTTGCCTTCAGTAGAGTGCTGTGGCATCACAGCTCATGGCAACCTCTAGCTCTTGGGTTTAGGAGATTCTTTTGCCTCAGGCTCCTGAATAGCTGGGACTACAGGCGCCCGGCATGACGCCCAGCTATTTTTTGTTGCAGTTTGGTTGGGGCTGGGTTTGAACCCTCCACCCTTAGTATATGGGGCCGGCACCCTATTCACTGAGCCACAGATGCCACCCCATGATGGACTTTCTTAAACTAGACCACAGGTATCAACAGAAGGAAATGACTGAGTCAGACAGAAAAGCCAGACCTCATGGAGTTTGAACTCTGACGTTATAAAAAGAATAGCCGTTTCAAGAAATGGTGCGGGGACAATTGGGCATCCGTCCAAAAACAAATTTAGGTCCTTACATTCCCCTATACAAAAGAATTAACATATAATCCATCATATATCAAAATCAGATGGAACAACAAAACTTTTGGAGGAGACTTAAGAGTAACTATGTAACCTTGGCATGATGATTAATTTTATCTGTAAACTTGGTGGGTCACTGTGCCCAGATGTTAGGTCAAACTTTATTCTGGATGTCTCTATGAAGGGGTTTTTCAGATGGGGTTAACATTTTTTTTTTTTTTTTGAGACAGAGCCTCAAGCTGTCACCCTCGGTAGAGTGCTGTGGCATCACAGCTCACAGCAAACTCCAACTCCTGGGCTTAAGAGATTCTCTTGCCTCAGCCTCCCAAGTAGCTGTGACTGCAGGCGCCTGACACAATGCCCGGCTATTTTTTGGTTGTAGTTGTCATTGTTGTTTGGCAGGCCCAGGCTGGATTCAAACCCGCCAGCTCTGGTTATGTGGCTGGAGCCTTAGTCGCCGGAGCTACAGGTGCTGAGCCGAGGTTAACATTTTAAATGGATGAACATTTAGTAAGGCAGATTACCCTACATCATGTAGCTGGACCTCATCCAGTCAGCTGACTTCATGCTCAGAACAAAGGCTATTTCTGAAGGAAGAAGAAACTCTGCTAGCTGGCTGCCCTGGTCTGAAACCATGGCTGCTCCTTGCAGCACCAGCCTGCCCTACAGATTTTGGATTTATCAAGCCTCCACAGTCATGTGGACCAATTCCTAGAAACCTCTCCCGCTTTCTCTCTCTCTCTCTGTATTCATCGTGTGTGTTAGTCTATATGGTACCAGATGCGGGTGTGTTACGTTCTGTTGGTGCCCTGTCTCTGGACAACTCCAACACAGACGAATGAGATAAGAAGAAACAGAATCTTAAGGACAAATTAGAATTAGTTCTGGGATTTCTGGAATTTCCTCTCTCATCTGATTAGATCTGAAGACATTCCTAAAATGAGTCATCCATAGCATAAGGTGGCAATAGAAATATGCAGGATAACACCATTGATTATTCGGAGCATGGGTATAGAGTTACAGAAAATTACAAAACTAGTTTTTTTGGATTATGATAAGTTCAAAAGTTTCTGGTACACGGTATTCATGGGTGTGTGTATATACGTGTTGGAATAGATAGGTGTATACATGAATAATTTATTAAGAAAAATAAAGTGTTTATCTTCCTACGTAGTAATAACACAGAGCTTACTCAGTTAATCACCTACCTCCACGCTTTTTATCTTATAGGACGTCTCTCTTGGCTCAAGAGCCTTATCAGTATACAGTGCAACATTCGGGTTCTTAGGGGTTACTTCATAGACCAAATGTTCAGAACCCAGCGAAGACCCCAGGGGTTCAATTACGTAGCTAACATTTTCAAACTGTATTAAGCCCCTACAGATTTCAAGAAAAGTGGATCAATATAATGATGCATTATGAACAATGAAATGCCACTTTGTTTTCTAATGACATGCAGATAACTTTTAGTCTTAGTCTTAAGTGATAAGGCAGGAAAAGTTAAGTATAGACCCCCTTACTAAGCATCACAGCCTGACGCTCATCATAATGGCTGTTGGTATTTGTCTAGCTATTAATATTTCATGGTTTCCAAACGTGTACAACGTTAATTCACTGTAAGGGCAAGAGCCATCGTGAGCTTTTCCGATGGCATTTTTCCCACGATAGTCATTCGTGACTTTAGCACTAGTGAATATTATTTTTAAATTGCTCAAATAATTTCTGAGTTAACCTTTCCTTTTGTAATATATAAAATTATAAATCACAACCTGATTCCATGACATGTGGATATAATCACCATAGAGTGTGGATACCCTTCAATATACCCTTGGTAGTAGCAGAAATTCTGTAAAGTAAGGACAAAACACACATATGTCTATCAGAACAATTCATGTTAAAGACACTGGTTTCAAATACTTTAAACATGTATTTTTTTGTATGTATGCATCAAATACTTATTGCTTTCAAAATAGACTTAATAAGATCATTAGAGGAGTATATGGTTCAGTTTTCTAAAATGTTCATAGTTCATAAAAACTATATATTCATACTTTTTTTTTTTTTTTGCAGTCTTTGCCCAAGGATGGGTTTGAACCCACCACCTTCAGCATATGGGGCCAGTGCCCTACTCCTTTGAACCACAGGCACTGCCCTTTTAAGTCTTCTTTTTAATACAAAGAATTCCCTTTAATATTTCTTACAAAGCAGGCCTTGTGGTGAAAAACTCCCTCAGGGCACTTTGTTCAGGAAACTTTTTACTTCTCTCTCAATAGTAAAGAACAGTTTTGTTGGATATTGTTGTTTATATTTTTTTCTCTTTTTAATTTCAGCCTTTTGAATATATTCCATTCTACTCTCTCCTGGTCTACAAGGTTTCTGCTGAGAAATACGAATGTCCATTTATTTGTTCCCTAGATTTGAGGAGTTACATTTCTAAAAAATAAATAAATAAATATTTTTTCTGTCCCTTTCTCACTTTCTTCTCCTAGAATTCCTGGAATGTTTATTGGTTTATTGCATGATTTCCCATAAGTCCTATAGACTTTCTTCATTCTTTTTCATTTGTTTTTTTCTTTTTGTTCTGTTGATTAGAAAATTAAAAAAGACCTACTGTTATGTTTATTGATTCTTTCTTCTATCTGAGACTCTGCTTTTGAAGTTCTCTGTTGAAATATTCAGTTCACTGAATTTTTTTTTGCAGTTTTTGGCTGGGGCTGGGTTTGAACCCACCACCTCTGGTATATGGGGCAGGCGTCCTACTCAACATACCTAGATTTCTATTTCCATCTTATTTTATAATTTTGTGTAAAATATTTCTGCCTTTATTTTCAACACCAATTATAGGTCATGACTTTATAAAATGAAAGTATCAGTGGGTATGGGTAATCCACTCACTGGTCTGTTTTTTTTTTTTAGGCATGGGTAATCTACTCACTGCTCTGTTTTGTTTTGTTTTTTTTACAACAAATTACAGACATTATTAAATGAAGTGCCACACATTTCAAACATATGAAAATTTCATATACTCCATTAAATGTGCGTGAAATTTCATGTGTGCATATTTGGTCATTGAATATCTTTCAGAGAAGACTTTGGAGTCTCTCTCCTTTTATTCCAAGCTTTGGCTTTCCTAATTCAAATCATATTTTTTCACCGTATTTCACATTTTCCACCTCTGTTGTCTCAGGCATATAAACACATACATTTACAGACCCATGAAACAAGAAGTTAAGAAACATCCCAATTTTATCTTGTTTGGTTGATCATCTATTTAACGTGGTTAACTCAATATATAACAAAAAGAAATGATTGGATTCATACCAAAACAAAACATGACCCCAACCCTTGGTACCCAATAACACATAAATAAGGTGATCTCGGGAGGTCACAAGACAGATGTCAACAGGCAATAAGAAACATACCCGAAACTTTTCTTCAATAGGCTTCATAACTTCTGCGTTATTATAACCATAAACTATAAAATTACTAGGTAAAAAAGTTCTGTAAAAAAAAAAAAAGGACCAAAAAGTATTTAATGGACAAATTTATGCACTAAACTTTTATTCTGATAAAGATATTTTCTGTATTCATTAAAGATAGGTAGGTTGGCATAAAGAGAGAGGGAGAGAAACAGATTTTTTGAATATGTGGATCATGCTTTAAATTTTACTTAAAGTTTCTAGTTGTGAGATCTCACTTCATTCACTCCATGGTGCACTGTTTTTCAAACACAAAAGGCAAACTTTTGCTGTTTGGTATTTGTTCCGGTATCCCTCTTTCTGGGGCGTTTTAACCTGTCTCAGTCTCTCACCTACTTCAGGCCTTTATTTGTATATCAGCAGCCTCCGTGAGGCTTATCTTGGCAAACAGTTTAAGAATTCACCGTTTTTAAATCACCAAAGTCTAGGACTTCTAAACCACACTCTTAATTTGGTCCCTCTTTTGCCCAAGTGTATATCGCCTTCTGATATTCTCCCTACTTAATTTATTTATTATACCATTATTAGTGTCATCTTGGTACAGAGTTCTCCCGCTCAGGGCTGAACAAAGATCCCCATTTTCCTGGGCCTGAGCAGAAAATAATTAAGAAGACTGATAGTTGGGTGCTGGTTCCGCACACAGCCCACGCCTGACAGTCGGCTGAGAGTGAAGGTAGTGTCACCCTGTTGTACCGTAAACTGTTGGCCAAGTTGAAACCAAGATACACTTGACACAAGCTGATAGGGCTTGAGGGAGACTGATAACAATTACACCACCAGCGAGGACTAGTCAATAACATTTCATTTGTCCATTCCCTGGTATTACACACTTCATTCTCATCTGTTGCACGTAAAATGTAAAAACAATGAAATATTTGCATTTTATTTTATTTTCCACTGGTAAGACAGGATTTTATTAGACAGAAAGGAATATAGAAGCAGTAAAAAGGTATCAGAGCTTCTGGCAAAGGGGAAGACCCAACAGGGAAAGCTCGAAATATTTGCATTTTATTTTTACTATAGATTTGGCCATGCATATCTAAAATTTTCAACGTATAGCATTTTGTTTATTTTTGCTTTATTAATATTTTGCCATCATGTCTTGAATTTTTGAGCCAAGAGTTATTTCTTGACCACTATTGAATTTACAAATAGCTGGTGCTTCTTCAATTAAGCATTTCCAATTATTTCTAACTTTATTTTTCTGGCTATCAAGAATGTGGTTACTATTCGGAAAAATGATTTTTTTTTCTAATATGTGATTATTTTAATTTATATTCCTGTTGGCTGCTCGTGTGCAGGAAAAGAGTCACGTTTACTTGTAAGGTATGAAATATAAGATTTGGCAATCACATCACCGCTAATTTCACTGCAAATCTATACCTTTTTTTCTACTCTAAAAAAGACATTAGCTTAAGAAATCTTCTGTGATTGCATTTTAACTCAGCTCTTCCTATATTTCTAATCAGTTATAATTTACATATTTCAACCTCAAATAAACATCATCATAAATGTCTATCTGTGATGCAAAAAGTAATTGATAGGGTGCTCTCGTCCAGATCCCTGGCTTACTGCTCTCGGTCTCTACCTGACATTCTAAAGTCGGCTCTGTTTGTGGGATTCTGTCTGGATTTTCCTTATGCATATTACAAAAAATGTAGGATTTCTCTTTTACAGGAAGAAGTAATTTTGAGTCAAGTTTTGTTATGTTTCTTTAAACTACATATATAGATGGAAAATATTCTCTAAAAATTGTGAGGTATAAAACGTTAGGATTGCAGCTGGGAATTCTAGGAGTGACACATCCTCAGATGTATTTCTTATTTTGTATTGATTTGAAAGCTTCATTGACAGGCTTCTGTATTTCATTATTTTGGAGGTCTATTCTTATCACTTAAAAGTAGAGCGTTTAAATTTTGGTTTGTCTTTATTCCTTAGTATATGTGCTTGTTTTTCCCAAATTCATCAGCTGGCATGGGGTTGAGTTTGGCTAATTATCATTATCATTCAAGTCCTAATACTTTGTGACAGGGTTGATAAACTAACTACAAATTTTTCATATTATTAGACATTAGCATGTCTGTTGTCTCACATAACAAGAATCTACTATGATCTTTTTTTCTTTTTTTGAGACAAAGTCTTAGTTTGTTACTCTCGGTAGAGTGCTGTGGCATCACAGCTCACAGCAACCTTCAACTCCTGGGCTTAGGCGATTCTCTTGCCTCAACCGCCCAAGTAGCTGGGACTACAGGCACCCACCACAATGCCTGGCTATTTTTTGTTGCAGTTTGGCCAGGGCCAGGCTCCAACCTACCACCCTCGGTATATGGGGCCAGCCGCCTACTCATGGAGCCACAGGCACTGCCCTCTACTATGATCTTTAAAATATTAGTTGAAAATGAGGGAATTTAAAATTTATGGTCATATTTATGTTTTAAGAGAGATAAAATTATCAAAAGTTGTCTTCCAAGAAAGCTCTTAGATTACCAAATAGAAATGTGGTGTTACTGGAAACCAAAAAGATGGGACTATATGCTACAGATTCAGGTTGTAGAAATAGACTACACATATTTAAAAGGCTTTTTAAAGCATAAAATAAGAAACATGTGAAAAGTGAGTAGCAAATAATTACATTCTGGATGATTCCACACAATAATTTAAAAAATAGAACAAAGACAATTAATAAAATAATTAGGGTCACCTACCTTTGCTTTAGGTTCAGAATAAATGTCTGCCCTTGAATTATAATTTTGTAGGATACCTGGCAAAAGAATACATTAAAAATGGAGAGAGGAGAAAAACGTTAGAATAACCATTTTACATAATGATAATTACGTTGTAAAACACTTAATAAAAAGAGAAAAATTTATAATTTAATGTTGATTTACCTGGATGAAGTTTTATGTTAACACATCACCGTTTGTAATAAAAATAAAAAGAAGTAATTTGTGTGATTTCTTATTTGTTAATTTTTAAATTTACCTAGAACCTAATGTTATAGTTTTTCATCCAGTAATTTTGTTAGCTTAACAAAGACTGAGGCCACAGCAAAACTAGTGTCTAAAACAGAATATAACTAAATTACTCAACAAATATACATCTATAAAGAGCGAGGAATTAATAGCACATAAAGTATAATATTGAAGGGTCTCATGACGTTTGTTCCAATGCCAATCGATCTATTTTATTAAGAAAATAGTGTCTGACGTATGGACAGTTTAGTTTCTCATAGGTCAGTTTGAGAAGTTTTGGCATCTTTGATTTTTGGATCTTCCAGGCCATGAGCATGAAATTCCTCCATTCATGAAGGAGGAATTTATTTTATTTCACCTTGATTTATTCTCTTCAGTGAGGAGGTTTTGATTCCTTCATTGGATTTGTTTAGATTTTTATGTACCGGAAATTATATCTTTTTAAAACTATGTTTCATATTCTTCATTTGCCAGAATAGAAATACACCTGATTTTTGTATTTTGTAACCTTGTATTTAACCTTGTTTTCAGAGAATTTGCTCCATTATTGTTTCAATTCTAATTACCTCTGATTTATTTTGAATTTTATTTCGCATGCAATCATTTCATTGTGTTAGTTCTTCCCCTACAGTGGTTATGCCTATGTGATGTTTTTGTGTTTTCTTTCTTTCTTTCTTTCTTTCTTTTTTTTTTTTTTTTTGCAGTTTTTGTCCAGGGCCAGGTTTGAACCTGCCACCTCTGGTATATGGGACGGGCACCCTACTCCTTGAGCCACAGGCGCCACCCTGTGTTTTCTGTCTTTATTGCATTGGTTAGCACTTCCAGGATAACCATAGGTAGAAAAGATAATAAACAGCTTCCTTGTCTCATTCCTGATCTTTAGAGAAAAACTTTCAATATTTCAAGTTTATGTATATTTCTTTTTTAAAAATTTTCTTAAATTTTGTATTTAATTGTTTTAGTTTAAAGTTTTTCTTCTTATTTTTTGGGGACAGAGTCTCACTAAGTAGCCCTTGGTAGAGAGCTGTGGCATCAGAGCTCACAGCAACCTCAAACTCTTGGGCTTAAGCTATTCTCTTGCCTCAGCCTCCCAAATAGCTGGGATTACAGACACCCATCACAACTCCTGGCTGTTTTTTAGAGACAAGTTCTCTCTGTGGCTCAGGCTGGTCTTGAACTCCTGAGCTCGAGCAATTCAACCACCTCGGCCTCCCAGAGTCTTAGGATTACAGGCGTGAGCCACCGCTCCCGGCCTTTATGTATATTTCTTAAAAGGCATCTTAAAGTCTCTTCTAAAATAAAGTTTATTGTGTATAGTTAACCTCTAATCTCTGTATTAGGGTGACAGACAAAGAACTGCTAAGGAAATATTTGCATTTAAATTTCCCAAAAGCCTTCTACCCTACTAAAAAGAAAAATTAAGGTGTGCTGTCTCAAGAAATACGTCACTTCTTCAGAAATTATTCTAGGACTTGGGGAAAAAAAAGACAAGAAGCTTTTTAATTCAAAGAAAAAAAGCAATAATCCTGAACTAAGACAAACTACACACAAACAGTTTAATCATTAACACGTTTGCAATCAGGATGGAAAAATCAGTGACATAACCCATCATTAAGTCAGGCGGTCGCCATCCCGTGTAAGGAAGCTTGAGGCTTACTTAGCAAACAAACACAGCCTGGTGAGTGAGTGTGGAGAGAATTTCTAAGCGGATCAAGTGGATGATTATTCAAAAACATCCAAGAAGAAAACATTTCCAAGAGGGGATGTGGAGCTTTACACTGTGCCATTTATTTCTATGAAACATGGTAAATCTTGGTTCATTTTCAAAAGGGCTTTTCCATTCCAGAAAATAATGGGCATAAATCAAACATTCCGCAATAAAAAATGGCAGGCTAACTTCTCAGGACCAAAATACCTCAAGTTACATAATTCACATAAAATAATGAACAATGTTAGTAATTACCTTGATTTCAATCTCTTCATTTAATACGGACTGTACTTTCTCTGGAATTATAACTTGCAAAGGTAGTCTTTGAGAATCTGCAATTTGCAAACTGAGTTAGGAGAGCAACGCCCATCCCTTCACAAGTTACTTTACTATTCTGTCATCTAAATCCATCATCTGTGGTCACCTCTCCCCAGCTCCTGTCTTGTTTACTATCCTTTCAAATACTCTTAAGTCCCTTGTCTTCATAGGAATTGCAAGAGTTGGGTTTTTTTTGTTTTGCTCTATTTTTTTTTTTTTTTTTTTTTAAGAGAAGAGGGTGTACCGCTCTAGGAATATTCCCCCCCGGTCAACACGCCCAGGCTCTCAGTACTGATGAGCTCACAGAAGGGAAGCTGGATCTCACCTTCACCAATGGCCAAACTGCAAAGCAGGGTCTGAAACTCCAGCCCTGAGCGTCCCCTTGAGCCAGGGGACCTCCCATCTTTCCTTGGGTCCCAGGATGAGCCGGAAAGTCGCTACTCAGCTGATGTGAATTTGGGGGGATAAAGCGGCGATGGGAGGGGAAGCTCCATAGAAACCGCCTTCCCGGGAATGTCCACTGTAACTCCCGGAAGGTAGGAGGGTTTTTCCACTTACCAGTGCCTGTCGAGAGCCCGCTCAGCACATTCAGGCCGCTCAGGATAAGCAGGACGGGCAGCATGGCGGGGCCACCTGGATCCCAGCGGGAATAACGACACGCGAGAGGGCAGTTAGGTGCGCGAGAGGTTAGGTCCTGAACTTCACCCTGCAAAAGGCAGGTGGCCGACAGCCCGGGCGGCCTGAGGCTGGGTGCGAAGCGCGGCGGGACCGGGGAGCTCTCGCCCCCCAAGTCTCTCGCAGGACAAGGACTCCCGGAGACTTGTCACCTCTCTGAGGCTTAGGGGGAAAAAAGGCAGCCTCACTTTCAAAAGTCAGAGGTAAATAAATAGCAGAGAAACAGGAAGATCAATAAAGACTTCTTTTTTAAATTAGTTCCCTTGAGTCATAAACATTGATTAAACGAATTTTTCATTGAATACAAAATCAGTAATAGATGGACAGCCAATTAATATTCAAGTTCAAAGCCGTGTAATTAACACCCAGATGCAGATATAAAATAGAACAGCCAGAGCCCCCAGATTGCCGGGACAATCATTACCCCTGACAGCCACACATTAGTTTTTGTCTGATTTTGAACTTCTTTTTAAGGGACTTTTTATAACTTCAAAATATATTGGGGGTACAAGTGCTTTGGGTTACGTGGATTGCTTCTGCAGCTGGAGTCCTGGCTGTAAGTTCATTGTACCCAGGAGGTAGGTTTTGGCCCCTCCTCTTCTCCATCTCCCCACCTGCACTGATTTCCTCGGCCAGTAATGCCTGTTCAAATCCAGTTTGTCACCTGCAATCTCTCCAGCTTTCAACCTCCTTTTCTGGCAGGGAAGAGGTTGGTGGGTTCCTGTAAAATATCTTACAGTTTTAAAAGAGAAAAACATAAATAGGAACCCCCCCCTGATGGTTTTATTGCTTTAATCGTTTTGAGTGGGACACTTCTTGAAGCAATGAGGGTGAAGTCCAGGCTTCCTCTCGCAGGTCTCACTGTGGAAAATGGTTTCTCCCCTCCTTCCCATTTTTCTCACTACTTCTACTGCAAGCCATGCAATCCTTTGTTGAGTTTTCTTTCATTTGTATTATAAAATGCATCTTCCCTTGTAGCCTTTCCTCAGCATCAGAAGACGAAGCTCTTCTCCTTTTTCTTGAATTTATGGTCACAAGCAGAGTGATGAGATTTGTCCTATTAAGAAAAGTGTCTGCACTTTCTCTCCAGTGGAGCAGGTGAAGAAACACATCAACATCTGACATAGGACAGATTAATAATGACTGCATGTAGTTTTTCTGTTCTCAAGATATTTCACTTAAATAGATTTGCATTCACCAGTCTGAGCAAGAGCAAGACCCCATCTCTAAAAATAGTGGGGCGTTGTGACAGGTGTCTGTAGTCCCAGCTACTTGGGAGGCTAAGGCAAGAGGATCATTTGAGCCCAAGAGCTTGCGTTTGCTGTGAGCTGTGATACCCCAGCATTCTACCCAGGGGGATAGAGCGAGACTCTGTCTCAAAAACAAACAAACAAATAAACAATTCCTTTGTTGGATATAATGACTGTAAAAATTTTGTGTACTGCACTTTGCTTTTTCATTTTTAACAGATTTTTGTATATAAAATTAGTCATATTCAGAATTTTTTTATTCCAAATGAATTTTCATGGTGTGCATTTTATCATGGATGTTGAATTTTATCAAATACTTTTCTACATAAACGATGCAATCATACAATTTTCTCCATTTTTTGTTAATGTTATTAAGATTGATGATTTTCTGGTGTTGAAACAAACTCGTATTCCCAGAATACGTGCTATCTGGTCATGATGTGTTATACTTTTACATTTTGCTGGTTTGATTTGATAATATTTTGTTTAGGATTTTTGCCTCCATATTAATAAGCAAAATTTGTAATTTTCTTTTATTGTGAGCTTGCCAAATTTAGAATCAGAGATACGCTGGTCTCATAAAAGAAATTGTGAAGGCGAGACGTGTAAACCTAATAAACATCTGTGTATGTAAAACAAAAAACAAAAAAATAAATATCAGTAACATACTTATATTCGTGAAACAAAACGACTTTGCTGAATCTTTTTCTGAATGGTGAAATCCTGTGACCTGTGAACGCCAGACGAAGGATTTCTTCCTCCGCTCTAAGAAATGAACCGGTGCTACGCAGGCGCACGTTAACCCTAGTACCATCAAGGTCCACCAGAGGGCGCCTGAGCCTAGAGAACAGATGCTTAGAGTCTCAATCCAGGCCTTGATAATCTTCCCAGCTGGCAATTGTTAACAATTCATCACTAGTGAACTCCTTCTCTGCGTTAAATTAGGAAAAAATAAATTATCGAGGAATTTTGCAGTCTCTGTCTTGGTACCTAGCTACCAACATTTAAGGGCAGAGTTTAAATATTCTCTGAAGAAAGGAAGTTATACATACTGTAAAATTATACAGATACATCCCTACTATCATGAGATGTTTAGGTTTATAAAATGAAAAGAATCATGATATTCATCATCACGACAATTTCGGAAATGTTTAACATAAGTCCTTTCTCTGTGACAGTAAACTTTCCTGTCAGTATTTTTATACCTCATCTCCGTCATCTGCTGATTTCAAATGCAATGAACCCAAATCTTCACAATTCTCAGAGTTTTCACCCCAAAAAACAGTCTTCAAGTATCTATCTCCGCCACTGAAGGTAACGTGGTTCAAAATGACCAGGGTGACCTGATTTTATCCCAGGAAGGCTGAGGTGATCAGGGTGGCTCTTGGTTACATCTCCCAAGGAAGGATGGAAGAAGCCAGTGTTGATTTTCTCTTACAGGTCTCAGGGGTCAGAAATAGTAGTAAGGTAGCCCTAGTTCTTCAAAAATATTGAAGGTGATGGAAACACGAGCCACTTCAGGAGGCTCAGCTTAATCATGAGGTTCACACGGCACTATTATGTCGACTACTATCTTCCATATTGTGAATGGTACCAGACTCTGACTTCTCATTTTGAGCCTGTGAGAAGCTGAATGTTTTGACTTGCATTTGACAGCTTAAAAGTTCCCACTGGTAGCCTTTCATTAGCCTTCTACGTGTTTATATCATGACTGCAATCTAAAAGATATGTTGTTGTATATATTTAGAGACATGACTGAGAAGATAGACTTAGACATATGTATGGCATTAATTTAAAAATATAGTATTATAACACTTATGAATCCATACAGAGGCCAAAAAAATACTAACAATGGTGGCCAGGTCGGGAGCAGTTTTTTCATCATAGCTTTGTCATATTCTCGTACCAAATAATCATTTTTAACCTAGTCTATAATGTCCATTAAAAATTGCACTTTATGAGAGCATTATTCACATAGGGGCTCAGAGGGACATGTTGACCAAACCTTGTGCACTTTCCCATTAGATACAATTAAAAAACTTGTTAAAAATAAATTCCATCCTTCTTTCTAAGAGAAAAGAAGGATGGGAGAAACTGAAGCTTTGATGTCATGAAAAGTTGGGATTTGAGGATTATATGAAGTATCTTATTATAGGTACTAACTCTGACCACATGCATAGTATTGAAACCAAGTGCTTAGAATATCAGAAATAAATTTGTATGAGTAAATAGTGCACAATAAGTAAACTGAGCCCACCCTTGCATGAGTGCTTGCACATACTCCCTCTGTCCCCGATAAACAGTATAATTAAAGTAAACATCTATGTTTTATTAATTTTTAAAGAAAAGTTAGGAAATATCTCCACTTTATTGTCTTGTAAATGGTTTTAAAATTTTCATTAGTGGGGCAGAGCAAGGTGGCAAATTAGAAACATCTTGTTACTAGCTACTTGCAGCAACTCAGGGGAAAGAAAACTCCACCACCTCCAATTGGGGGAACCTACTCAGGGACATCAGTTGGGGACAATGAAACAGGTGGACTCTGGGAGCCAGCAAGGAGGTCTGGAGCTGAAGGAAACCAGCACAGAAGGCAAGTGCTTGAGAACAGGCAGGGACCAGCTGGCCAGCCAAACCATGGAGGAGTGGGGACAGGAAGGGGTTCTCCTGTAGTTTTTTGATTTTGGCTAAATTTCTCATTGGAGCTGCCTGAGAAGGCTTAAATGAGCGGGTGGACTCAGTGTCCAGTGGCCAGAATTGAATACCAGGTGGGTTGTATCTCTCATTGGCTTGTTTACTAGCTAGGCACCACCACTACAAGAAGGCCATGTGGGAGAAACGGTCTGCAGAGTCCTAATGCATGGCCAGTTCTGGCACACATGCTGAGGTTGGCCACCAACCCTTTGGATGAACTGAGTGGCCCAGGGAATTTCTCTCAAGGGGCACTTGTGACATGCCTCCTAAGGAATATGGCAAGAGCTTTAGGACATCAATCATGTGGAGACTCCATACTGACAAAGCAACAAAGCCCTGATTGAGGGCAACTAACTCAAGAAGATAGGGCTCAATCTCCTCTATAACTAGAAGATAGCTTCTGGTCCTAATTTTTCACAGCAAAACAGCATATGTTCCCCATCTCCTAACACCACAGCAACACCTGGTGTCCCAACAATATACTACAATATTGATATATAGATATATATATAATTACACACACACACACGCACACACACACATTTCTTGGAGTTTTACTATTATATTTTTATTTTCTTCAATAGCAAGGGTTTTTCTATTTTGTAATAATTTTTCAGCCCCTTTTATTCTCTCTTTATTATTTCTCTCCTTTTTTTCTCTCTTTTGGTAGAAATTTTACTTTTCTCATTATTCCCACATAAATTTTTCATATGACAGGAGGTAGTGAAGTGGAAATAGTAGGGGAAAGAAGTGCCTGAGAAGAAAACACACATAAGGAGGAACTAACAGAAAAAATCTAGTGACATGAAAAAACAAAAACCCAAAACCAACCAAACAAACAAACAAAAACAGAGCCACCCCTCCAATGGATTAGGAGGTTGCTACCACAGAGGATTCCATCTATAAAGAATTAATGGGCTCGGTGCCTATAGCTCAACCGGCTAAGGCGCCAGCCACGTACACCTAAGGTGGCGGGTTCGAATCCCCAGCCCGGACCCGCCAAACA